TTTTTTTTTCCTTTTACTTTCAGGATTTCTATTTTTAACAAACCTCTAAAATTTGGCTATCTTATACTATTACAAATGAAATGTATGTAATATTGACATATATCTGTTTTAGAGGCCATGATGATGATGATGATGATGACAATGATAGTCAATTGATACTATGTTCCCAGAATAATAAGTTCTTTTGATGCTCACAGAAATTTCATGAGGTAAGCATTATAATTAATCTCTGTTTTACTGAGGAGGATAAAGCACTACTTTCATCTTCACATTACTAATAAAACCAGTGCTCAGAGAAGTGAAAAGTGGCAAAGTGTGGTATTAAACAAACTTGGTTATATCTGATTCAAAAGCTTGTGCTCATAATCTTTGCACTATGGATAAAACAGATGAAAAAAAGATTTGCCCTACCTGAATGAACAGGATCATATTTCCAAACAAAATATTGGGACCCATAGGCTGACAAAAAAACTTTTCCTATTTTAAAAATTTATTTACATGAAAACTTTTTTACATAAATCATATTTATGCCAAATATCAGTCAAGCATTTCAAAATGTGATCAGTCTTAAAGTATGCCCTTAAAATTAATTTTATTTTTATTTATTTATTTATTTTGAGCCAGAGCCTCAAGCTGTCCCCCTGGGTAGAGTGCCATGGCATCACAGCTCACAGCAACCTCCAACTCCTGGGCTCAAGCTATTCTCTTGCCTCAGCCTCCCAGGTAGCTGGGATTACAGGCACCCACCACAATGCCCAGCTATTTTTTGGTTGCAGCTGTCATTGTTGTTTGGCGGGCCGGGGATGGATTCGAACCTACCACCTTAGGTGTATGTGGCTGGCGCCTTAGCCACTTGAGCCACAGGCGCCAGGCCCTTAAAATTAATTTTAAGTGAAAAATTCCTTAATAGTTTGTGAATATATTTGCCTCCTATAGTTTTCTAAGAAATGAAGTTATTAAGTTACAACTTTCAGATTATAAATGCAAAATATCCAACCTCTTCGTAGCCCCTTCTTATCGTTTTTGTTTGTTTTTTTTTAAGACAGTCTCACTCCGTCACCCTAGGTAGAGTGCCATGGTGTCAGAACTCACAGCAATCTTTTTTTAACACAGTCTCATTCCTCTACCCTAGGTAGAGTGCCGTAGCATCACAGCTCACAGCAACCTCCAATTCCTGGGCTCAAGTGATCCTCCTACCTCAGCCTCCTGAGTAGCTGGGACTACATCCATCCACCTCAATGTCTAGCTAGTTTTTCTATTTTTAATAGAGATGGGGTCTTGCTGTGGCTCAGGCTGGTCTGGAACTCCTGAGCTCAGGCAATCCTCCTGCCATGGCCTCCCAGAGTTCTAGAACTACAAGCAAGAGCCACCGTAACCAGCTCCTTTTCTTGTCTTAAAATCTTTGTGGGGTCTGGGCTCAGTGGCTTGTAATCCTAGTACTTTGGGAGGCCAAAGTGGGAGGATCACTTGAGCCCAGGAGTTTGAGACTAGCCTGGGAAACATAGTGAGACCCTGTCTTTACAAAAATATATTTTTTTAGGCTCGGCACCCGTGACTCAAGCGGCTAAGGTGCCAGCCATATACACTTGAGCTGGTGGGTTCAAATCTAGCCTGGGCCTGCCAAACAACAATGATGGCTACAATGATGTATTTTTTGGCTACAACCAAAAAATAGCCTGGCATTGTGGTGGGGGCCCATAGTCCCAGCTACTTGGGAGGTAGAGGCAGGAGAATCACTTGAGCCCAGGAGTTGGAGGTTGCTGTGAGCTTTGATTCCATGGCACTCTACCCAGGGTGACAGCTTGAGGCTCTAGCCAGGTGTGGTGGCGTGCACCTGTAGTTCTAACTACTACAAGAATTGAGCCAGATTCCTTTTCTTTTTTCTTTTTTTTTTTTTTTCAGTTTTTGGCTGGGGCTGCGTTTGAACCCACTACCTCCAGCATATGGGGCCGGCGCCCTCCTCCTTGAGCCACAGGCACCACCCAGATTCCTTTTCAAAGTGATAAAAATGATCTAAAATTGACTGTGGTGATGGTTTCATGTGTCTGTGAATATATTAATGTAACACTAATGGATGAATACTATAATAAATGAGTTATATCTCAATAAAGCTGTTAAGACCAAAAAAAAAAACAACAACAACAACACAATGAAGAAGAAGAAGTGAGCTAGAGGATCACTTGAGGTCAAGAACTGGAAGCTGCAATGATCTGAGATTATGCCACTGCATTCCAGGCTGGGCAATGAACAGAAGTCCTGTCTCCTTAAACAAAAACAAACAAAAAACCCATATATATATGGGAGGTGGTCTGTGTGAGTTCTTCATACCAGGACAAATTTATCCTGGAAATGTTGCAATGGTTCCCAGATGTATGTTATTGTTTTTTAAAGTTGAAATGTGTTGATAGCCAGGTATTTGTCTCCAAAATGAGAATTCCACTCAGTTTATGGACACAGTTTATTCCTTCTGTCTGAGAAATTTTTCAGAAATGTGAATATGAATTTAATCAAGAGGTACACCAATCACTTGTTGGTTTTGTTACAAGGGAGGAGTTTCTCTCATTTCTGTGTGGATAGTTTTGGGCATAGTCCAGGGTGAAAACCTATAAAGGACTATTGGCAATGTGTTGATTTGTATTTACTGTAGCCTTATATGCATTTCCAGTGCCACTGGAAACCACTATTTATAAAATTGTGTAGGATTACTGTTTTGCAGTATAAAAACCATTTGGATTCATAATCCATTTTAAGAAACAAAAGGACATATTGTGATTGTTGACATTAAAAAGGAATATTCTGGCTCGGCGCCTGTGGCGCAAGTGGCTAAGGCGCCAGCCATGTACACCCAAGGTGGCAGGTTCGAATCCCCAGCCCGGGCCCGCCAAACAACAATGATGGCTGCAACCAAAAAATAGCTGGGTGTTGTGGCGGGC